TTTCTGAAGTCTATACTTTTTATTATGTTCCTTAATATCTTCTTATATATATAAGCACTCTATTCCAAAGATACTTTGGCAAGCCAGTATAATTGTAGATTTATTAAACTTACTTGTTAAAACTCACTTCAAAAGTCAGGAATATAACTAACCTGTTAGCCCACTTTTCAGATAACCTCTGACTACTGGGCAAAACTTCGGCGGCACGTGTTGTCAATAGGTCACACCAAGTACGTTACATGTGTTGTCAATAGGTCACACCAAGTACGTTAACTGATGCTAAAGCCCTGGTAGTAGGGTGAGACTTTAAAAAAAAGACACTAAACAGCTGGCAGTTTGAAACGTGAAAAATATCGAAAACCTGCCTCTTCTTTTACAACGTAACTACAAAATAAGCACCTAACTTGCACTGCATTCTGTTCTCAAACTAAGAGTGCAAATTTAGACAGAAATAAGACAGTGTCGCAAAAATCCACAGAAGTTTTAGGAGAAAAACACCAGTAATCTAGAAGGATTATTTAAGTACCAAAAGTACCAGAATTGAGAAATCCAAATTATCTCAATAGTTGCTTTTCTGAGAAGGGGGCTGAATAGTGTTAGTAGTATTTTGGAATCCTGTTTTGGTACTTTTGTTCTTCAGCAAAAACAAGAAAGCTATGAAGCAAGGAGATGCTTATGTACCTTTTCAAGCTCATAAAGCAAAAATTACTGCTACAGTAAGCAACCAGTAGCAATAATAAAATACATCTCCTTTCCCGATTCAGGTATTTGTAAAATTTGTGCATTGCAGTATGAGACTTTGGTTTAATTTAAAAAGCTATATTTATTGTCCAAATCAAAAGACATGTATAGTTGCAATCACTGGAATGGGGGTTTTTCAACCATCAGTCTCACCTAGCAGCATGAGGCAGCTATGCCTACCCAAACTGCAACAGGCTATCCCGTGGCATCTCCTAAAAATCACACCCCAAGAACATTTCATGATTTTCCATAATCTAGATGAGGAATTGGAGCAACCGTAGGTGAACTACCTTGACTAACCCACGGTGTGGTAGCGGACATCCGAATTCACTTTCCTTTACACTGGAGGTCAGGGAGGGGAGGTGGTGAGCCTCAGTGAACTTCATTCATAAAAAAACGTAGGAGAAAATCTGGGCTCGCTACAGCATCAGAAAAATGCCCACTGACTTGAGCGGTACAGGAGGAGAATCATCATCCTGCAGATGGTCACTCTCCCCTGACCTCAGGCCCCTTCGCAAGCTGGAAGTAATTACAACGCCAGACTGCGACTTACTCCGTACTGCCATTTACGCAATGACTTCTCCCACCTGAAAAGATGATGCAATTGTTGCAGAGAATTGTTCACTTCTTCAGAGATGTTTGTTGTTAGACACTTCCACATGGACAAATTAGATGCAGCTCATTACCTCGCTATCTCCTTTCTCATCTGCTAAGCTAATTGCTACATCTTGAACTCAGAATGCCATGGGAGCTTTCTATAAAATATAACCCTACATTGCTCTTTTATATACCCCATGAGACAAGTCTGCAAAGTTAGGTTGCGCTTGCCAGGAATAATATTGTATTAATTTCTAACCATATTCAAAAACGTATTATTTTGTTTTTCTATCAACACCAAAATCCATACAATACAGCAGAAGTTTTGTATACTCCTATCCTTAAGGGAGGAATGGAAAGAGAAATATATTTCAAAAAGAAACATTTCTGATGCTAACTAAAATATTGATAATCACATTCAGGTCAAAGCAGTTTCTGACTGTGATTTATAAAATTATGTAGCCACTTAAAAAGCTCCTCTAAAGTAGCCAATGTGATTTCCTGGAGTTGGTCTACCTTTCTGTTGCTTTCCCCATAAATTTTAAAATTGCAGTAGTCATACATACAGAAGGAAAATTCCCCCATGAGAACTCCCCCCCTCCTTTCTCCTGTTAATGTTCCATAAGAGTGAGAAATTTATGCTTGTGCTTAGCAAATAAAAGCAATCTGTGCTAAAAAAATCTGCACCAAAGTTTATTTTGGTATGCAATAACTTGAATCCTAGAAACCACACTTTGCCAGGGGGGGATTCTGCAGTGTTAAGAAGAACTAGGATCCATGTTCCAGTGATCCTTGTGCCCCATGATATCGCACCCTCTTTTATAAGAAGTTTATCAGGTAACAGCATATACCAAAAATCACTGAGAAGTACAAAAATCACAAAATCAGTACTGGTACTGCGTTGCTTTGTACATCATCCTGTTTCTTACAGGAAGCTGTGAGAACCTAGGACAGCAAAGTGCTTCGCAACGCACGCTCTACGTGTTTGCACATATCAGAGGAGGTGCTTCTGCCTCATACAATGCATTCCTGCATTTGTAGTTACCCTCAGCACGCAAATTGTCTGACTAGTCTCAACACCTATCAAGCACCTTGACGCTAATCATACTGGAAATACAGAAATAGGTATAAGGATCGTGCTTCATATCAACACGTTGCATGCTCCAAAGCACCATGAGTTAACACCTCAACCACTTTCATAGCTAAGGAAAGCAAAACTGGAAGGACAGTAACACAAGAGAAAACTTGTGGTCAAGTATGCCACCAAGAGGCAAAAAAAGCAAAACTGAGCAAGGCAAGGAAGAACAAAAGAGCAGCATCAGCGTGCAAAATATCTGGGAAGCCCTGGAATGACGTGCAATGTGGGGTCTGCCTTCACTACGCAGTCTTCACTTCATCTTCTTTAACTTCTGGATTGTAACTCTGCACAAGTAACTCTGAAATCCCGTGTGCAACAAAGCAAGAGGCTTAAAATCTGTGGAACTGTTATTAACACCAAAATGCAATAAACAGGGTGAGAAACAGTTCAGCAGCAACCAACCGCACATTTTAAAAATCTCCCAGTTTCTATGTAGGAATTGGTTCTCCAGGAAGCGGTCAGATTTCAAAAAAATAGAGCATCCTTTAGCTTAGAAAAAAGGAACTGCTGGCAGTTGGACACCTCTGAAAACCTGGCCATTTCATGGAAATGCGTAGATGAAAACAACTTAAGTCAAAATTACTGACATTTTCCATCCCTATGGCCCTGTGTTGGCAGTGGCTGCTATATTGATTTAAGGGTGTTTGTTTTTTCAAATATAAGTGATTTTTTTTTTTTTTTAAATATTGTCTACATCAGGCCTTAAAGTTTCTTGAGTTGTGTTTTATGTGAGAGGATTTAATGCTGTGTGGTTTTTAAAATTCAGGGGGTCTGATCATAGCGGGTGTTATCACACAGACTTTTTTTTGTAGGGGAATGAAGTTACTCTGTACACCAAGCAGCATTAAACTGTCTGAAATCTGAATGGCATTAGTGAAACGAAAGAGTAATGAGCTATTCGTTACTCTCAGGTAACATACTGAGAGTGGCTGAAAGGGGAGTTCCCACCACACTTTTATTTTTCCCCATTTGTGCTTCATAAACGGCAGATGCGTACGAGTTATTCTAAGTTTCAGCAGCAGCCAGGACTTCCAGGTTTTTCCAGAAGAAAACCCTTTCCTTTCTATTCTTTTTTTCCCCCCATTATCTATTTAAAAGGAAGATTTTCCAAACATTCAAACTTTTCAGAAGGGGAACTGAGATTCAGAGGGCAAGAGTCTGGAAACAATTCGGTTTTTCTCTCTTTCATCTCAGAAATAACCAAATCTGTGCAAGACTCTTCCTGCTGGCTTACTAAAGGCACCAGAAATAACCCTCAGAAGAAGCAGAAGTGACCACTACAGGATTTACGAAGGGGTCTGTGTGCCCTCTGCTGGCATCCGCAGCACAGCTCTAGCCATTGCTTTCATTAGACTATTCCTTTTAAGGAGGAGAACTCACTCCTACAGCTATAAAACCACCAAAAAGTTTTTAGATATTCTCTATTTTGTCTCAAGAGTATTTCTTATAGTTTTTATGAGTATTTAGCCGTTTCTGTGGCCCAATAATCTTCTTACATCGCAACAGATTAAGTCTTTTCCTCATCTCCCACTGAATACTTTATTAATTAGGCCAACCCACGACACAGGGACCTAGAAATAACATTTATCCACAGAAACAGAATGTTTTGGCAGCACCTCTTGGTTGCAGTGGTAAGATAACCTTCTGTCTCAGTTCTCCCTTCAGTCCTTTTTGCACCAGTTAAAGAGAGCTGGTATGACAGTTTTAAACATCCCCTGAAGGACTAATCTTGAAGGGGAAAAGTCTAGAGAGGACAACATTAATTCTAATTTTTGAGGATGTCCTTGCAAGCAATGGCACAGGGCATTCCAAAGGGTGTGCTGAGAGCAGACACTGCCCATAAATTAACATAAAGCTCTTCACGGCCCCTCCTTTGCCCAAGATCATGTCTAGCATTTGACCTTGTCATAGAAGGTAAAGACATCTGTAACGTGAGCTAGGAGTAACCGCTGTCTCCCTGGAGCTGTAAGTAACGCAAACAACCGACCAACTCCAGCGGTTGCCCTGGAAGCACCGACTTCACAGCGTCACAGTCGTACAGTAACGTGGTAAGGCCATTGGACACACGAGGCTCCCGCTTTGGTGGAACCAAAGTTTAAACATACTGGTCAAACACACAGGGTAGCTCAAGACTTAGTATCAACTGACTGTTTGAACATTTTTAATGTGACCAGCTTGACCCACTAACTGTGCAATGAAGATGGACAGAAACTCATCACAGATTATTCCTCAGAAATGTCAGGAAACTGAGAAAGAAAAATCAACAAGCATCTGTGATGCAGTTGTGACAATAAGTCACAGATAAGTAGTTGTTGTTTAAAAATTTATAACTAGGAGAGCAATGAGAAAGTTAGGACTGCGTAATCTAAAGAGAGGTACAGACTAGGCTACACAGGATAATTTCATGCAACAATTGTGGCAAAGCATTGCTTCCTTTCTGCTTCAGATCTTCAAATATGAAAATACAGACATTCCCATCAGCACACAGTAATAAATTAATTTTTTTATCAAGTAAAGCTTGTACCTGGTCTTCACTTGTTAAGCCAAGGTGCATCACAAAATAAAAATGAACCAGGAAATCAGAATTTGGCAGAACATCTTGACGCCTAGTCATCATAGCACAGATCAGCCTGTATGCCTGAAGTTTACCTTCTTTATATTCATTTGGCAGGGTGGTTGCCTGAAAAGAGCAAAACGCTTGTATTATTACTTTTTTTTCTAGTAGCCAGCTAATGCAAAACTATCTTCAGCAGATTTTCCATAAAGCAAATCTGTTCTGTGTATTTATTAAAATACACTTGCGTCCAAATAGCCTTTGGAGGGTATTCATCTTTAGCCAGCAGTGATTACAGAAATTAAAAATAACGCAACCAAACATACACAAAATCAGTACTGATATAGAAGAAAATACTGATGTGTGAAAATTTTAGAAATAACTTACCTTGAACAACCATGATGCAAATATTCTGAGAGGAGGAATTAAGACAGGAGGAGAGGGAGTAGACTGATTGTCCACACTTATAGCAAGGTTGTCCCGTATCTAATGTTTTTGAAATAACAGAGTTAATAAAACTGATAGCTTACTTTATTAATGATCTTTATTTCATATTATTACTTTTTCATTTTATTTGATTTACTTTAAACACTACACCCTGCACTATAGAGAGTTCCTACTTAAGCCAAAACTACCAGGAAAGACTGTTCGACAGTGTTTCCCCACAGCCTCAGCAAATACTACCATTTTAGGTCATACCATGGGCTTTTACACTGAATACCAACGTTTGTGGTATTCTATTCTATACTTCTATTTTCTTTGCTACTGTTTCGTCACCCCATTTAAATTAACTAATCTAAATTCTCTTGTCATTGAACAGGAACATTCTCTATTGGGGATATCTACTAGAAATCAAACAAGATTATCTTTCTTTATGACAGAATCCTCCAAGTCTCATGCTTATGTTCCAGATACTAATACTAAATAAAATTTAATTAAATTTTTACAACAAAAGCAAAATCATTATCATTAGATGTAAGGATGTAAGCATCATATACGATACCTTTGCAAGTTTATACCACAACTCATAAAGATACCCAAAAACTTTTGCATGGATTTTAGGTGACTGTATGTTGTTCACATCTCCAAGAATTCCCAAGATCCTCCTCCATAAGACAGCAGCAGAATCAGGATGCCAACCGATAAGGCTTCCACCAGCAATTATACTGCAGTCATCAGCAAGGAATTCACTACTGTCTGTAAATTTAAAAAAGTTCAATTTCCATGAATTAGAAATGCAGTGTACAGTATAAATTTGGTCAATAAAATAGGAATATTACTCCTTCCATCTCAAAAGTATTCTCTCCCACCATATCACCTCTCTCTTTTCCATTGCTCAAGCTAGCACACGATTCAAAGAAAAAAATGGCAGGAAATGTAGGCTAAAGGGCTTCCACATAGAGATGACACAGCTATAGATCAGTTTTATATCAGACAGACTGCCCCCACTCAAGGGTTGGTTTTTTTTTTTAGCAGGGAGGCAAACGCAGTTAAATGGAACACTCATGTACTCTGAGAGATTTATTCAATCAATAACTGGCTTTTACAGGTAATGTTTCTACTGCTAAGAGTCCTTTCTTTTTTAAGATCACACAGTATAAAACGACCTGGAAATGGAACTGATCAAAGGAACTAAAAAGTATGCACTACTAGTGATGAAGAATATGCTCAGGCACTATCATGTTATACAGAAGCAGTTCCTGAGACAGCAGTATGCAAACTGAGAAGGAAAGCAGGGTTTTGTGAAGACTGTCAGGATAATGGAATTAATATGCTTAAACAGTAAAAGAAAAATTCCATATTGAAGTGCAAATTTTAATGACAAGAGCTGTTACATTATCTTCTATCAGACCAGGGAAAGCTGTGTAGCAGCCTATCTGCAGGCAAAATCAGACCTATGGTCCAGTGTGGCACCCTGCAGTGCTCAGCAGCCAATGTTTCAAGGAAAGTTGCAGGAAACCTCTACACAGGCAGAGGGAAATAACTTGTGTCCTCCCAGAACCCAAAGAAGGTTAGCAAAATAAAAGGCATTTTAGATGTTTTTATGTTTGCTTGAATTATTTTTAAAAAAGCTTTTAGGATTATATTTCTTTTTGCTTTTTTTGTTTTGTTTGTTGTGGCATTATGAATTCCCAAAGTGTTAAAACAGATGTTATTTATTAAGCACATTAGAATGATCTTCAACAGATATATCATCAGGCAAATTGCATCTATGCTGTTCAGTGGTGGCGTCACAGTATTTTTTTGCCTTACACCATAGAGGTTTCTACAGCAAAACAAAGTTTTGCAACTTGGGTGAGAACCAGAAATGCAGTAAGGGCACACTGGCTCTGTGGGGCAATTATACATTCGTTACCCCATTTTTCTTTTTAGTTTACATTACCTTTCAGGTTATTTTATATAATTCATTCTCTTTGTACACACAAAGGAGCAATGTCTTGTATCATAGACATAAAGAAAGCAATTAATTTATGATACATAATAATCCTTACCATGTACTGTATTACATGCTACCTTTTGTACAATGGCAGTCTGAACAGTTGAACTAGGTGTGCTGGTTCATTAAATTAGAGATATTTCAAAGAAAAAGTGAATACGAAAAAGATATCCTTGAAACTATATATCTGTAAGCAAAAACAGCCTGTAAGTTAGTTTCATATGTTACTGCATTAAGTTATTGAACTAACATCTCTGACTCACATTATTAGATGGGAAGGTACCTTTACAAACTGCAAAGAATCAAAATATTTCTATAAATAATCATGAGTGTTGTATATGTTAAAGACACTATAAATGAAATAGAAAGGTAAAGGACTTTTACTTCCAAACTAACTCTTCTGAGAATGCCACTTACGACATCCTACTGGAGTATAGGCATTGTGTACTTTGAAGTATAAATAAGGAGGGTAACAGGATTAAGATGAGAGAAATTATCACGAATTAACTAGTTATTTCCTATCAGTCAAAATATATAGTAAGGAATTTCTTTAGACTATTCTGCTATGAAATAAAACCTATTAACTTAAAATATAAATTAAATTCATTTATTTTACTTGAACACTGGGGCAGGCTAAGAGAGCACAAGTGATGAGCTATCAGATCTCAGTTGATTAGTAGTAATTTGACACAGTAAGCAACCCAATTATTTTCAACTGTGTGATCATTTTCTGGATCACAATTTATTGGCACCTATGTCAGCTTCAATCTGATTATCCAAATTCCTTAAACTCTGGGCGTTCAAATCTCATTTTTGAATGAACACTATGATTGAAACTCAGTGATACATGCCAAACAAAACATACTTTTTATAAGCAAACTGAACTGTATGAACTCCTTTTTGAGACAAAAATCTAAAATAGTAAATATATTTTCTGGACTACAGTACCTGTTAGATTTGCAGTATCTGAAGGACTAAGCTGAAGCCAGCGAGGTGCATCAGGATCCACACAAACATCTGCTGATGCATTAACTTCATGGTCTTCTTCAGAAGCTTGCCAGGGGATAAGTGCGATCTCTACTTCATTATTATAGCCAATGGATGTGTCACTGCTAACACTTTCACCTAAAGCAAGAAGGGGATTAATAAAGATCACAAACCCTGTTTTTAAAGACTACATTAGCAAAGCATGATGAGAAAAGCATCTAATATATCTGTAACAAGACAAAATTAGGACACTGATTTCAATTGCTACACTTAAGAAAAATACTGTATTTCTTGGAACTCACTTTTTTCTCTCTCTCTATAATTTCCATTTGATTGCTGCAAGTCTGCTTTCAAATCTAATTCAGCTGTACTACTGCTTCTTCGTACTAGTACCTTCAGAGAAAAAAAAAATTAATCTCAGCTTATTACAGTTTTGAGAACTACAACATATTTTAGAAAATTCAAGATACACACACAGTTATTGGAAATTAATTACAACTCAGTCAAGATATTTTCATGAATATTTAGACTACCAAAATATCTTTAAATGTCTTAAGGAAACCATCATGCTTTCAATTTCAGTTGTTATCCTCCCTTTCTTAAACTCAGTTTTCATACCAACAAGCAGCACTTTTTACTTAGTTTTTCCACAAATCTGAAGTCATTCAATACTTTTAAAAGCATCAAAAAATCTTTCAGGAAGAAATTAGTAGTCATCTCTTATGTCAGGGCATTACTCTGTTGCAAAACAACCCATGCAAAGACACCTGATCTTTTGTTTACCACCTTCTTCTTCGTCAAATGGATTTATAGCCTACTTGCTGAAAACCCTTCAGACAATTTTCTGCTTCTAGATGATACTGCTCTGTCCCTAAGCATAATTGTTTTTCTTTATATCTGGCAGATCACCTTCAAATTCACATTTCTTGCAACTCCATGTCACCTAGAATAGCAAAACTTAATTTCTGCCAGAAAAAGAGTATCATGTTTTCCATTGTAAATATGCAACAAAAAGCCCCAATGCCTTACCCCTAGGAGCATACTAGATCTAACTGCGAAGGAATCTCTACTCTAAAATTCCTCAATTCACTTAACGTTTCTGAAATTCCATTTTGATATTTGCAATTATTAGTATTACTATTTTTAAATAAATTTCTTGAAGCAATTTCTGATCCACTGGCCAGACATTAATCCATTTGTTCTTTCTGCATATATCTGAGAAAACAGATTATTGCCACCAAAGAGACAACTGGCTTGTAGAAATTATTGTTGTATCATCTAACATTGTAGCTTTTTTTTTTTTTTTAACTGGAGAGAATTGACAATCATCCCCAAGAAATACATGTTTGCTTGCACTCTGCTTGCACTGCAGAGTAGTCCTTCTTCCCTGGCAAATCTGGCTCTTAGTGATCAGTGATGACAATATTTCAGTGGGTTGTGATATGAAGTCAAACTGGTTCATATGGTACATTAGCAAGTTATGCAGTGAATGTATGGTCAAAACCCCAGCTTCCACCTGCAAAAAGGGTGAAAGTGCAATACTGGTAACAGCCCGGCAGCATATGCTTGTGAATTTTTTATAACACATGCCACTAAAATAGAATGGGGAGCCAGGTTAATTTTTAATTCTCCCAACTACTGAGCTTACTTCTCTCCCTCTCCCCTCCACCACACAAAGCAGACTAGGTTTTCCTTCCTTTTTGAGACACTTTGTTATTCCTGAAGCGATTAATGAAAGCACTCTGCAGAAAATGTCTCGTCTCTCCTTTCTAGAGCTAAGTGTTAATGGTTCTTTAAGTCTAGACTTATGGGAGAACCAAGATCCAAAGATGAGATTCAGCTTGGAGACCTCCATTATGTATTGCATTATACTTCCACAAAGATGATCAGCCTCAGCCATTTATTATTTCTATCGTTTATTCAAAAGTTGCATTAAAAATTTATGAAGCTTGCCTGTCCTAATGTTAACTTATACAAACATCTGCAATACATAGCTGGCGATACAAATTGTGCTGAAGGAAAGCATCTTCCCCAGCACTTTAAAACATCAAACATTTATTGCAGTGTCTTGTAGCTCTATAATAGCCATGAATTATTTATCTTTAAAAAGTTATGAACTTCTTGTTTATATTTAATATAAAAAAGAACAAAAGTCTTGTATAAGACTAGAATATAGCCAATTACATAAAACTGCGTAAGCAACTGACCAGATCAGGAGACACAGAATGATCGTACCAAATAGCATAATGAACAGCTACAGCTCAATTCCAGATTCCATTCTAGAAGTGTGATTAATGATTTTTCACACTTTCAGTTGCTACAGTTTCTAAATACTAAAAGGCATCTGATTAGAAATAAAACATTGTTAGAATCTTATCAATAATCACTCTCTATTTTGCCTTACTTGCTCAGCTTCATGTTCCTTCTTTGTATATCCCTTATTTTCCTGAACTGATCTGGAGTCTGAAGAAGTTAAATTATGAGAACTCCCAGCCTTTTTACCTAGAAATTTTAGAAAATAAACAAGAAATATAGACATTTGTGGGACCAAAGTACATAGCAAATTATATGAAAGTTTCAGTTACGTTTACATGTACACTTATATTTATAGTTAAGTGAAGTAATACAACATTAAAATGGAATACATGATGTTTTGAAAAACCCTTCATAAGCATAACATACACGATAGGAACAGAAGTAGAACTGTTAGCTTTAACACACAAAATTTAAATGCAAGCCAGATAAAAAAAAAAGTTTAAGAGTTACATACAAAATGCATACATTCAAAGGTTTCATTTTTAACCGCTCTGTTTTATAAAGGGTCATGTCCTGCATTTGTGGTTTGTAACTTCTTAAAACCAGTTCCTTCAACAAGATACCAACAATATATTTACTAAGAAAAGGAGATAAAAACCATTTTAGAACAGAGCTGGAAACCAAAGTAGCATTTATGAGGCTGAACAAGTCTCAACACTTTTTCTTCAGAAGTACAAAATGGCTATATTTTATCAAAATTACCTTGAAAAAAATCAGATGGAAACTGATCTGTAATATCTGAAGTGCTGCTACTTCGAGTTAGCTGCTGCTCTTGGTCTGCAAATAGGCCCATAGCTTCTGTTGAATTTTCCAGCTGTTGAGATTCTTCAACTTCTGTTGATTTAATTAAAACACAAAATATTTGCACGACCTCAGAATTATATACACATGTGAACTCCTCATCTAAGAAAGCTGTATGAAAAAGCGACCCATTCAAGTAATTAAAACTCCCAAGTTACTAAGCTGGAATGTAACTCCTAGTCACAGAAGTTATAATTTAAGTTTTATAAAATATCCTTAGAAAAATTGTAAATTTTAGAGAGAGATGTACGAGCAGTGTAAGTGGTAAAAAGTCTAGAAAAAGAACAGAAATTACTCTGCGGGTTCGGAGTGCACAAGGAAGGGTGGGAGGATGTCACTTGAACAAAGCTATGTTTTTCAGCGCTAGAGACCCAAACTAGACCCTGTTTGTTCTGGAAACAGAAAGAATAGAGGAGAGGCAGCAAAACTACGATAAATGCAGAGTGCAGAAAAGATGACTGTGCTTACTGACTTCTCCTCCATAAAGAGGGGAAGGGGAGAATAAAAAAAGGCAACAATTCAGAGTAAAAAAAGATCTGAGTTACATATGATTTGGGCTTAGTTTGCGAGGACAAACTGATTCATGCAGCTTTTTTGCTGTAACTGAAAATGAGAAATAATAGGAGAGAGAGGCATGATAATTCAAGTGAGAAAGTAAATTGACATACTGGGGAAGGAGCAACGGGAACTCTTGAGATTAGCTAGCAACACTGCTTTTAGAAATGCGTTTCTCTTAGCATTGGGGGGTGGAGGGAAAGACAGTTAACACTCAGGATCAAGTATGTTCGCATTCAGTAGTGGTGCTTTTAGTTATGGCCATGACACTGGTTAATGCCACCTACCATACTTAACCTAATTGCTAACTCTTTCCCCGGAAAGCAGTTGAAGAGGTGGCCCACACACCCCATCAAAGCTGACCCAACAGAACCACCAGCAGACTGTTCAAGGTGTTCAATCTGCACAGCCAATGCTATTTTCCTTTTCTAAAAAATTATGAAAAATGTTGCTGTAGCAACTCTTATGAGAACCCTTGAATTTCTTTTTTTCAATAAAGAACATGGGCTGAATTATTAAGTCTTCTAGATTTCTTTCAGCATATTGTTACATAATATGCACATTAAATAAAAGCGACCTTTCCACCACCTCCCTATTCTCCTCCTCTTCTCTCCTCTCCTCTGCTTTGCTTCCTGTCTGCTCCACAGGCACTGACATTGAGGCCACACTTACTCAGAAATGAGCAAGAAGTACAGCCCCTCGGGATATGAGATTACAGACCAATATACACAGGTTGCAGCAGCAGCCCGCAGCAGGAGGACAGTACGCTTAGTTCACTCAATCTACACTACCAAGTGCGTTTAAGTAATATTTAAATACTTAATAAACATTGCGTGCATTTCAGAAAATTATCTCAAATACACATGTACAAAATCTACCTGTTCTGGTATTTACTGACCTCAAAGTATCACTGTTGACTTTAAGTGCCTTACAGAAGGCAATAAATAAAATAATAGATTAATAATAAAGAAAAGTTTGTCTTTCAGGTCAATGCCCATATCCACTAGCTAGAACAGTTTCAGTGTTACAACTGAAGATAACTGTAAGCAGCATGAGATGAAAAAACACTAAAGATATTTCACAGAATAGGAATCCCTCCTCAAAGTATCACTGTTGACTTTAAGTGCCTTACAGAAGGCAATAAATAAAATAATAGATTAATAATAAAGAAAAGTTTGTCTTTCAGGTCAATGCCCATATCCACTAGCTAGAACAGTTTCAGTGTTACAACTGAAGATAACTGTAAGCAGCATGAGATGAAAAAACACTAAAGATATTTCACAGAATAGGAATCCCTAGAGAGCCATAATGCACCACATACAAAACTTTACTTTTCTTGCTACAGCAGCTAACGACTCTGGTTGGGGCTCAAGAGTCAGAAATCCCTCCCAGGAAGTGAAACGTGGGAGGTGACAGAAAGTCGTATTTTCAGAGACTTCCTAGCTGGAAACAGAAATAAAAGAAAGTCTGCTAACATGACAGAGAAATCTCACTGCTTCCACCAACACATCTTGGCTAGGTGATAGGATGAACGCTCTACAACAAAGTAGCTTTGTATTCTCAGGCCATTACATCTGTTTTTCACATTTATGTCTGGGTACCAGTACAGAATTCAGTTCAGAAGTTGTACGCTTAGGGTTTGTTCGAGCTTTATTTATCACAACAGCAAGTTCCACAGGACAAGACTATATAGAAAGCAGGAAAAAAGTTTACTACACTTTTGAGCAAAAATACGCCCACTTCAGTCCAAATAACCACTAAAATGCCCAAATCTGGATTGCTGCCTTTAGTTTCTGCATTCCTAATCCTTAGTATATTTGGTCAGCACTATATTACAACTTTAACAACCATCTGGAAACTTTTAATAAACCAAGTAATTGAAAGTGTAAACACGAGTAAAAGCATTTTTTATTAAGAAATTAAAATAAATTTTACTTTAGTTACTAGGGAACATAAATCTAATTGTAATTCATGATAATCTTTAATATTAAAATGAACAAAACCTGCATTGCTTGCAGTACTACAAACATTTTGAGAGAAATCAAACACTAACTGAGAAATAAGAGGCACAGACAAATCTTTTAGATTTCCTTCTGAAATCAGTAATTACAGGAAGAGTTCTGTAGAAGAAAAAAAAAATCCACATTTGTAAGCATCGATTTGTAACTGAGTGTAACACAGATTGAATGAGATTTTTCTTTTAAATCAAGTAGCTCAACCAGCTGCATTTCTCTGACTGCGTATTTTGCTTGCACTAGTTCATACATTCAAGCATTCAACTAGTTTCTACAGTAGTTCCTTGAAAAGATATTGCTCTCCTTTTCCCTGAAAAGGTTTCTTATTTTGACAATGAACCCAGTGACAGAATAACAAAAAAGCATTAGAAACGGACACTTTTTGCCACCCTTTGTAACTTTGCAAAAGGAAAAGATATGCTCCCATTAAACTTGCTCGTCTCTTAATGGCTACCAATATTACTTAACACCATGTTTTGAACAGATCCAAGGCACGGAAAAACATCTCATTCCACACCACTAAAGAATAATCAACTGGACAGAAAGGGAGTAGACAGACAGTGGAAAAATATAAAGAACATTTATATAAAAGATGACTTTAAAGTACAGTACCTGACAGTCTGTGAGAGCAAGAAGTGTAAGAGATACCAGGTAAGAGAGAGCTCACAGTGTGAAGCAGAAGAGGTACACTTTTAGTAGCTGGCAAAGCCTCATAAAGATGAACACAGTTGCTGATAGACTGGCTTCGCTTAGCTTCCAGGAAAAAATAAAGCAATAATTATGTCAGAAAAAATTATGAAATATTTGGTGTTTTGAATGTCATGATACAATGAAACACAAAGCTTTTGAAAAAAATAGTTTTACAACATTAAGCCCAGAAGTATTTCCTATAAGCTGTAAGTTAACAATGTGCAACTGTATCTCACACATTGAAAGTGCAATAATCAGTGATTTCTGAATCACAGCAGTTCCACAACGTGGAATATTTCATTTTGTCAGTGTATGATTCCTATCTCTGGGCTAATTTGACTTCCCCTTTTTTCTTTCCATTGAAGTACCTGCAGCAGTACATACAGCTCAAAAATAAAGAATGGAAAACTTATTCAAATTCCCCTCTACTAGCAATGCTCCCCCCCCAACACCAGCTACCTCTTACATTCATTCATCTTTGCTGAAAACAATCCATTTTCATCTGAGAAGTGGGATAGTGTGCTTCTCAAAAATCGATCTAAAGATACAGCTGCCTCTGGTTTTGCTTTTAAAACTAAGATCCCAGCTCCAGACTGGATAAAGCCCCGAGTACCCTGGTCTGACAGACAGCTGATCCTGCTTTGTGCAGGAGCTTAGACTTGATGAAGTTCCTTACACCCTGAATTATCCTGTGGACTCTGGTTTTGGGGTACTGAGCCCTGCTTTCCATGTTTCTGAACAGGATGATGAAAGGGACGCAAGTTACATGAAAGTTTTTGGAGTTCTTAAGTCACCTCAAAGGAAGGTAGAAGATAAGTGCAGTCTGAATGCATATCTTACTGAATTTCTCTTCAAAATAGCAACACTTAAATGGGTTCACTGTTTCTTAGAAAAAGAAAGGCCACGAAGAAAACACTTTCCAAGGTGGCTAACACTCTAGAGGCTGTCTAACATCATTATAAACTTGGTATTTTATGGATTAATACCCAATTGTCATGAGCTTAAAGTCTCCTTTAGAGAAAACCAGCAATTTATCAATTGTATTACTAAAAGTTATGCTGAATTACAGAAGTCTCTAACAGAAATTTATTAGGAAAAAAAGAATCCATACAATTTCTCTTCTTGTATACAGCAATGTCAATGCTGACACTTAGAAGTCAGAGGGGAGGAAGGAGGAAGCAAAAATACTCAAGTAGAGTAGCAGGCAAAAGATTTTCTGCTGCTGCAGAAGTACTCTGTTCTTACTCTTATAACTCCAGATACAAGCAGCAGATCAAAAGAAAGTCTTACCTGGAAGCAGGAGGTGCTCTGGTATTTGTATGTTCACTTGGGGGGGGGGAGGTTGTTGTTTTTAAATGGAGGAGGGAGAATATTAGGGATTTTAAAAAGCCTCCAGTGGGAGACACTTTTCCCAAAGTGTCCACTCTGCTAAAGAAAGTCCTCCCGTGAACAGCCCTGGCTTCTGTATTCACCTTAGGGACTGCCACATTTCCTTCTGAAAGATGACACCTCTGGAGGCTTAGTAGCTGTGTTTTGTGTGTTTCCAAATAGTCTTACCTTAGAAAAGGGATATACATTTGACATATTTGAAATGATTATTCGTTATAACCGCATGTGCAAATATAAAACTTTTTTGCACCTGCTGATTTGGGAGCCATTGATCATCACAAATCCCATGAAAGCCAGAATAATTCTCTTTTTATATGACCATGAGACACAAAATGAAACTAAGGGCTTTTTACACATGAAGTTCATCCTCCTACCTGACAACCTACTTGCTCCCTACCAAATAAGCTCTTCTTACTAAAGGTAGGAAGTTTCTTTAATTTGAATGTACACGACCAAGTAAAGTCCTTGCTGATCAGTACAGGTCCTCTGTACTGCTCTGGTGAGAAGTCTAGGGGAGAAATGCTGTAGCAGAAGAAAGAAAGAATTCTCCACTGGAGCACAAATAGGAACTTGCCGAATTTAAAAATAAAACAGACACAAAGAATGAATTGACTCCAATGCCAAAATGTTTTGTGATCTAAGCTGTAGACTGTGGCTTAGTTATGAAGCCTGTAGCCACAAAAACATACTAAATCACCTTCAAATTCTCCTGGTAAGAAACAACTAATCTGTTATGAATGAGGAAGGAAGCCGTGCAGCAAAATATCTCCTATTCAAAAGCAGGAGATTTTCTATGAGGAGTTTTAATCCCTAGCCCATTGAATTGGAACACAGAAACATGTTACCATGCAATAAAACAGAGATCAAACTCAGGCTTCTGAAATGCTTGAAAAATCAGGTATCTGTTCAATGCCTGCGGTCTCAGACATTCCCCCGTCATTCCTCACCCCTGTTCTCCCTTCTCCTGTTTTCCTCTTTCCAGAAGTAAACATGAGAGAAAAAAAGTAAAAGGAGATGTTATACATACCTCATCATGTGAATAAAAAGAAAGCAAATAAAGCAAGTAAAAAAGGATGAAATTGTTTATTAAATATCTGGTTTACCTTCTGCTCACAGTAAATAGTATGCATGAAAGTTCAGAAGAAATATGTTATCTGAATGATGTTAATAAATGCTTTCTTATGAATTGATAAAAATAGGAACGTACTTTACTTCTTTACAAAAAACATAACTTGCACATGACTAACTTGCAATTAAATGTAATGTATTTAAAAACATATATTTAGAATTTTCCAAAATACTTTGGTTCTTTAATCATACTGGTAGTGGTCAAGACATCCAGACACAGGTACGCAACATCTCTGTTTAGGCATTTAATTATTAAGTTGCACGACTTTTGGAAGCAGCCACAACACAAAGGCAGATTTAAAACTTGAGTGTTACTGAGTGTTTGGGAACATAAGCATTTAGTTATGGTCTAACCTGTTGCTCTTTGACGAACAATATTTCTTGCCTTCTCAACTCCCGGGGCTCCAGAGGTCGTAGCACTTCTGAATCTCATTGGCTCCACAACTTCAGGATGACTTTTCCAGCTTAATGAAAAAGATCTTCCCACTACCGCTGTCTTTTGAGGCTCTAAAATGCCACCTTAGGGATAAAGAAAACAAAATTCTATAGCATCACATGCTTTGGCACATATTTTTCCTAAAGTATGAACAGACTTACAAGCACTCAGACATGAAAAATATTAATCTTTTAAACAACAGATGAATTTTTACTATTATTAAAAAACAATCACTGCTTCAACTATGTGCATCAATTGCAAGGTGGCACATAAAGGTAGCTAAAATACTGTAATTAATAAAGTTTAATAAAAATACATGGAAAAGAATTTTTACATTGATGACTATGCCAGACTACAGCACAGGAAATCGTGTTTCATTTCCGCTACACAGAAAAGACTGATTTTAAGCGCGTACTAAAAACTGCTAAATAGCTATCTTCTATTGACCCTAATTACCTTTCCTCCCACATTGAAGGATGAGAATACATAAATCCAAAGCACTTCACATTTGATTGAACAGGTTCGTACACTAGATTAAGTAGTACTTAATGTTAGATTAAATTAAATTAATTTTTAAGTTTAAACTTAAATGTTTAACTTGTTTGATACAAAAAGCTCCGAAGCATAGAGACTAACCTTTTCCTCTCTGCTTCTTTTCTTTTTGTTCACTGAGCTTATCCAGGGGTAAGTTGGTCATTTCCACCCCATATACGGTTCTTGCTAGCACCACTGTTAGGGAGTCCATGATATTGGCCCACTCGTTTATGAGCTCCTCCCAGTCCGTCAGGGCAGACAGAACACTGAGCAGCTCATCCCACAGCTCCCGAGAAATGTAAACGCTCAGGTTTGCTCTGATCCAAGCCACAATCAGGGTCTGAGAGAAAAGAAACAAGAAACAAAAATTCATGCATTTCTGTCAACATGAATTCAGTATGCCAACACCAACCCGCACGCTGATAAAGTCAACACCGACCTGCATATTAGCATTGATCATTCGCGATGCACAGATATTATGCATAGATTTTTTCATCAAAAAAACACTCCCAGAAATTGGTGGGTAAGTAATTGTGAAAGTTACTGACTAAGGAAGTCTAAAAATTCCAAAATGTATGTTTCAGGTGGTCTATATGTTCTCTGGTAAACTGAAATAATACGCTGTGTATAATAATAATACAATGAAGAACTGTTTCCTCTACCTACAAAATGATTATAGTGATTTAGCTACACTGGCATCACTCAGGCCTAGATACTGTAGCTGAGCATGTGAAGTACAATACAGTGTATAAATATTTTCATCTCATTCAATGTGACTCAGTTTTGACTTGCCAGCTGAACTTCTAGGAAAACAGTTACATCAAGCTTACACTTTAGAGATACTCATTGAAGATATCCCACAAAGAGACCATGTGCCTGCCTGTTCTACCACAGTTTGTAATAGAGCCCTAAAGAACAGATCAAATCAACTGCCTGTTGCACCCGGAATCTGTCTCCCTCTGTTAGGAACAGTTTACAAAATAATTACTTGTATTACCGCAAAAGAGAATTTTCTCATGTTTTACAAGTAGGTTTCATAGTACTGTGCAATAGCACTTAACTAAAACCATGAGTAATCATCATGTAAAACCAACATAAAAAACCCCAAAAAGACAAACAAACCCCAAACACTCACTCGGAAAAGTAATCCCGACATGCTATGAGCGAATGTATCCTTTATTTGGTTTTCTTTTGGCTTCTGCATCACAGCTTCTGTTATTCTAAGAAGTATCTGTAACATCTGTTCCCTGGTTCCAAAACAAAATTGTACTTTTTGTTCACATGTTCTGTCAATTGTACTTGTTAGTTTTCATGTACCAAAAAACCCTCTTAATTCTCCAGTAAGCCTTATTTATTGATAATGTGATCACACTTCAGACTTCACAGATCATTTGCAAAATAACATTACTTGGTTGTGGTCTGTAAAAACTAATTTTTGAGAAGGTGAAGTCAGGAATGGCAATTCCAGCCAGAACCTTGAAGTCAAATAGTACACTGATGTAGACTCAGCAGAATCTGCAATCTCACAAATCAATTCAGAGGCAAGTCACAAGTGTGACTTATGTAACAAGGTCTACCCCTGAGAAAGCCAGTCTTTTCTCTACCCAATAATTCTCCCATAAAGTTTAAATGTTGGTAATTTTCTCTTAAATGATGCAGACTATATTAAGCTTACCATGTCTTTTTATTCATTGATAGTTCCATTATCATGCGCCTAAAGATACTCAGAACTGCTTTGCAAGCATCAACTTGCTCCTTCAGAAGCACAGGGACTTCAATGCACGGTTCCAATAAGAAAACATTTGCAGAGTTTGTCAAGAATACCTTCAAGACAGGCATTTACAGTCAGTTTAAATAGTGTCAGGAATAAAGACAGTCAAGACTTACAATAAATTACTTGTCCCCCTCCTGTCAAACCTTTCACTTTCCTTAGAGAAAGTTTTATGTTTTACCTGTCACTTTATTTTTCTACATCATTCTAGTGAAAAGTCAGGTGGCATTACAGACCCGACAAAGGCATGCATTGCACAGTATCGGTTTTGTAGGTGTATCTTCTATTCAGTCAGGACAGAGTACCATTCCTCCAGCTACTCATTTCCTATATGCTTGAGCAACCACCAATATATCCAATAAATGAGGTTCAATGAAAGCAAATGTACAGTTCTGACTAATTCCTAGTACCCACAGTAGAAAAGAAAATGCATCTTCTGTCTTAAAATAGCTATGTGGCTCTAAGACACGGTCACATGGTTTAATATACATTTTAAAGTTACAAATGAAGTCCAAGTAGTACCTACAAAAACCATCAACTGCTGGTAGCTGTTTTCCTTAATCTCAGAGACTATATTATAATTTGTAGTGTAAATTATGCAATTACTTAAGTTACAGCCTTGCAACCTTTCTATACACCACACCTGTAACGCAGCTTGAGCACCAGCTTTAACATTTTTGTCCTCGTCTTCTAATATACATCCTCTGTTAACAGCACTGGTAAAGGAGTATGTTCTTCCCCAGCTGGATGAGCGCTTATGTCCTGAATGGTCAGAGGAAAGCTTTCAAAAACATGATTCAGTTAGTGACAAACCAGAAAGGAATATGTCTGTATTTATTCAAAATCATTTAAAATGTCAAAAGCAAAAAAGGGGGAACTGTCACGTCCTACATTCATTTCATGTCTATTATTTCTTAACCTCTGATCAAACAGACAGTATATGGAATTTAAAGGTTCATAAAAGTTTTAACAGCTATGTTATTTTAAATATTTTATATCACATTTTGTAGTCACTGTTTGCAGTAATATTTGAATTTAAGGCTGGCAAAACTATGAACCCCCTACAAAAGTAATCTGTCAAAACCTTGTAAGTCTCACTATGTTTTTACCACTCAAACCTCATTCCCAGTACAACAAAACTTCCCTTTAAATAGCTTCACAGCGTCAATAGTGTCAAAGTCAACTTTTACTGATGGTTCAATATAGGATATTAAAAAGGTGATGCACAGAATTTGTATCTACACTTCAATTTCCTAGATTAAGGTGTCTGAATCCAAATATTTCACCCAGTATATACAAATCAGTAGATACTATCAAATTCTTAAGTAACTACCACCAAAAGGAAATAGTCCTACATGCACTAGGCCAACAGACAGTGTAACTTTTAACACTGCAGAACTTATTAGTATTTCTTCCATTAAGTTCATGCTATCATATTTGTATAGACAGGGAATAACCAACAAATTACATTTTTCAAAAGAGCTGCAATTTTTCCCTGGACTCAGTAAGGGCTACTGAACACTCAATATTTATTTAAATTTTTGGACCTTAAATAAAAGCATTTTTTAATCTTGATTTTCCACACATTTTTTAATTTGTTACTCATTTACAAAGCGGGTTTAAAACTTAAATCATATATTGTAGGCGAACAGAATAAAGTAAGTAACACTGATACCATACATGTTTACCATCTGTTTGCACTGATGAATCCTCTAAGTTGACAACAGCATCCTGACTGTCTTCCTTTTTGTCTGGCTCCTCCATGAACACAGGCTTCTCTTGCAATATCCACTTTCGATACACCTTAACCACTTTTCGTGTTGCAGATATATCAGAAGGTGGCAATAAAAAAGCCTAAATTGAAAAGTTAACTGATTTTTACTATACATAGGACATAGATGTGCATGCATATACAAACACACCCACACACTACCACCCATAAATAATACAGTTCAAAAAAGAAAGGATACATAATTTTTATGTGTGTACTAGAAGGAGTTATGACTAATCAACAACCTATGCATATACCTACGTCATTCACAATTCCATAACTCTTAATTCCAAATTACTTCCATGTTGTATTTGTTTGGACAAAAAGAAAGAGGTTGTTTTTGCTCCTTGCAAGCCATCTAACTTAAGGTGTATTTATATCACAAGCCTTTACTAGCCATAGAGGTCTGGCAGGCTAAACTTAGGTACTATGCTATGCTGTCTGGAGAAGACGACTTCAAATTACATCAGCAGTATATGATGTGAAATGCCATTTCAGCATATGTAGGTAGAGACAAGACAGTAAGTTGTGATGAGGATAACAGTGGCTGGCATTCGACCCTTTCTCACTACAGTTTTGGAAATCACCACAATGAATTTATTTTCAACATGCTACTCAATATCTGTATTGGGAATCATTCTGTAAAGACATCCTCTGCAAAAGCTTTCAAAGGCTAGACTGGCTGCTTCCCCACATTTCTGGAGGTCTTATGAGACTAAAAAAAAAATATAGTGACAGAAGACCTTTGCACTGCAGTGAACAGGCACAGAAATCACTGTCTCAAAATGCTATCTGGTACAAAAAAGCATATTTTGCCAACAAAATATTTTTTATATCAATATGCGTTGTATTATAAAACCACTGAAAGAGATGAAAATACATTTTTCGTATTAAAAAAATAGGTCCTTTCAACTATGAAGAGATTACCCGCTCTCCATGATTAACATGGTCAAAAACTACAGCATTTCCTTATACCCAGTTTAGATGCAAAAACATTACAAAGGAATCTTGCTCAGGCAGGGGAAATCTTTGCATCACATAGTGCACTGTTGTCTTTAGTCAGCATGAAGTGCAACATCCAACAGCTGATTTCAACAGAAATTGAAGGTTTAGCAAAAGCAAGTTTAAATATGCTATACAGCAAGTATGTGAAACTTCTTAAAATATCTTCCCAGCCACTGTCAACTTAGGGATGCATAAACCGAAAAAGCCAGAAGCCAACTGCTAGAATATTAGAGAAACAGCAGCTCATCAACAGGATGAATGGGCACTACATAGAATGCTTTCTGCAAGGCT